AGGGCTAAACCCTCAAGTGCAACGCAACGCACTTCGGGCGGGTAACAAGTAGCTACTGCCTAAACAGCATAAGACCCTGAACATTCCCCCAGACATCAGAACCCAGAGAGCCCAATACCCCTTAATTAATTAAGGAATATACCTTAAATCATAATATTAAGGCCCCTATAATTTAAGGTATATTCCTGAATTCAGGTGTATTGGGTTCTCTGGGAAGCAGTATGTGCATTCAGTGCCTTCGACACTCTATCCTTCTATGGAGATGCGGGTCCCTAGACCCTAAACCCTAAACCCTAAAAGCCCTAAAAACCTTAAAAACCCTAAACCCTAAACCTCAAACTTAACAGGACGGTGAATCAGACCGCTCCCTCTGGACGAAAGCCCTGCAACTTTTAGGGTTGAGGGGCCCTTTTAGGTTTAGGGTGTCGGGTCTAGGATTTTTTTGGGGTTTTTAAACTTAGGGCTTTAGGGCTCTATAGGGGTTTAGGGTGTCGGGTCTAGGATTTAGGGTTGAGGATGCTAAGGATTCAGGGCTTGGGCTGTTGGGATTTGGGGTTTCGGGGCCCATCAAGAACTGGGTTCTTGTTAAGGGATTTAATTTACTTAATTTAAGTTACCATAATACGGATCTGTAGTAAAAAATATGTTTTCCTTATTATGGTAACTTAAACTAAATCCCCTAACAAGAACCCAGAGAAGGACGCCTTCGCCTTCGCTCCAAACTTGACGCCCTGCAGGCCGTCACAGACAAGAGAAGCAAAGCCAGTCTACCGGGTTGGGTGTTGAATGAATTAAGGGTTTAGGGTTTAGGGTTTAGGGTTGGGTGTTGAATTGAGGGTTTAGAAAGTAAGTCTAAAATTCAGAATTTAGGGTTCAGGGTTTAGGGTTTGGGGCAACTTTTGGTTTAGGCTTCTGGGTTTAGGGCTTGGGGAAGCCAACCTTTCGGAGAAGGGGTGGCTTAACTCTCGGGTTAGGTTTTGGGAAACATCTGGAGCTTTACTGCCACGGGAAGGTTTTCCGGGAGTCTATGCCGATGTCAAGCAGCGCAGCGTCTTTAACGTCGACCCAAAACCGTAAACTGTGGCTGTTTTTGGTTTATCACCCCGTGAAACGGAACTGTGCCGCTAGGTAAGCTAAGGGTTTAGGGTCAGTAGTTGGGGTCTCGTTTAGGGTTTGAGGTATGGTTCGGTTTTGGCTTAGTGTTTGGGCCTGCTCCAGAATTTAGGGTTCAAAGTCTAAGGTTTAGGGTCTGGTTTAGGGTTTGGGGTTTCGTGGGAGTTTGCTTTATTGTCATTGCCGTGATGCTGGGAGCAGAACAGAATGCGCTGAATGCCCAGATTTCAACGGGTTCTGCATAATAAGTGTGATGGAGACGAGCATTTGTTTTTCAATTATCCGGGCAATTTTGGGGGCTTGCTTGTTGAACTTGTTGCTGTGCGAGTCTGCTGGCTGCTCGTGTTGGGACCGCGGCAAGCTACAGGTTCGATGCAGAGCCGCGGAAGGTGTGAAATGAGTTTCGGGTGTAGGGTTTAGGGTTTAAGGGTTTAGGGTTTAGGGTTTAGGATTTGCTTCTGTGTTCAAGCCTCGGACGTTGGCGCCTTCGATTCCGCAACCCCGCAGCCCTTGGGTTTTTGGACGCTGGAGCCTTCGATGCCAACGTTACAATCGCGCCCTCCGCTTAAAGAGATTCTTCGAAAGATGGGCCTTCCGCCTGCCCCGGTCTCCGAGAAAGGGCTCGGGCTCGAAGGACACAAGTATTCGCACTTGTGTCGCAACGTGTCATAGGCGTATACAGAACCAGGTGACGGACCGGATTTTGCTAGAGAAAAGAAAGAAAGATGAAGCTTCCAACCTGGACGGTTATCAAGATACTCTCTAACCTCCTAAACCCCGTAACCTAAAGTGCCCTGGTAGCCCTACCTATTTCTATGGTCATAAAACACTTTGTTCAACAATACAGAGATCTGACTCGGACTGCTTCGTAGGACTTCCGCGGTGGTCCTTGTACAATCACACCCTCCTATGCCCCAAATACCCTTCAGAAGCCCCGTGCCATCCTAAAAGTCCGAAGGGGTCCACGGTCAAGCGCAGTTAAAAGCCTCGAGGCTTTAAGTTGCAGCCCCCGGGTTTAGGGTTTAGGGGGGGATGTTGAAACCGAAAGGCGTGGTATCTTTGTGTTGCAGCAAGCTGCTGTATTAAGACCATGTGACAAAAACGCTTTAGACTCCCACCAGCTGAAAGCTCTTGCGGCAAACAGATCCACAACACGCAAAAACACTAAACCCCAAAACCCTAAGCCCAAAACCCTAAACCCTAAACCCTCTGGTTCTAGACTGTTCCCCCAACCCCCGAACCTTCAACTGCCCCAAGTTTTTTGGGACTCCTAAAGCCCTACCCTGCCCATAGGCTCCATTGTAGTTCTTTTTGGGGGATTACCTTATAAAACTTATAGGATCCCAATAGAAGCCACAAACAAGCAAATATAATATAATATAATATAATATAATATAATGGAGCCTATAGGTAAGCCCTAAAAATCCTAAACCCTAGCGACCAAAATGACCCGACGGAGGTTGAAGATTCGGAACTTGGGTTCCACAACGGCGCCGAAAGAACCCCAGTTCCAAGCCGTTGCTGCGACAGCTCCCGTCGTCTCCATGGGCTTTTTGCAAGAGCGCCTCGGATACAAAAGACAACGGCGCGAGGTTTCGTTGTGCTGTGTTGCTTACTGTTGTTCATGGTGCTTTGAGGTTTCGGGTGGTGTTCAGTATCCTATTCTAACCATCAAGGTCCAAAAATTAGGCCTGGAATTTTGGATTTTGTTGGGTGTAAGCTTTGGGGTTCAGCGAGTGAGGGGTTGAGGGTCTAGGGCACAATCTTGGGTTAAGGGCTGCATCCAGCCTCGCAGAATCGATTCGTTCGAGTGTTGTTGGCTGAACTACAAAAACCCTCACACGAGCAAAGCCAATACGCACTACTAAAACTAAGTACAAGTTTGTACAAACTGGTACAGACCCTGTATCACCGCACAGTTGTTGCAACCACAAGTTTAGAGTTTCGGGTTTTGTGTTTAGGGCCTTGCTACAACCGTGAGGACCCCACAATCGGACGCCCCTGATTGCATAACGCATCCTATCAGGGCTCAAAGAGGACAAGCATAGCATTTTACAGGGACATCCCTACCTTATCGGGCTTCATTGTAAGGAGGCTTATGTGGGATACCCTTATGTGCTTGTTTAAGGCCCTCTTTAAACACAGGAAACCAGATCTTCCTAAATCCCTTCAATTTAAAAAGGCCTTAAATCATATCCAGAATCCTACTGTAATTTAAGGGAGTTCAAGGGCATATTCCCTGGCTTTTTCTGCCATCCTAGCCCCAAAAAACTCGGCCCCCGGGGACCCCATCCAAGAAGTCATGTAGCAAGACAGTGGAGTTAGGGGTTAGGGTCGACTTACGGGTTTACCTCGACTCAGACGCCAAAGAACCGACTGATATAAGGAAATCAAAATAAGGAACCCTACAAAAGGTAGGTTCTTTGGGGTCCAGGTAGGGTTTAGGGGCTTAGCGTTTTGGGTCGACTTAAGGGCTCCGGGCACTTTAGTAAGTAGGGTTACTAGAATTGGGGCTTAGGGTTTAGGGTTTAGGGTTACTAGAATTGGGGCTTCCACATCCCTTAAGTGGGGTTTTATCCTAATGATAGCCTTACTGACAACCTTGCTTGCTAAGTCCCTTCGCCCGTGGAGTAGACGCAGGGGTAGGGTTGCGGTCAGAAGGGCTTATATAGCACGGTTAAGGTCTCACATCGGTTTGCGGATAAGGTTATGGTCTCAGACCAGTTTGGGGTATAGGGCTAGGGTTAGGCTCCTAAACCCTAAACCCTAAACCCTAAACCGCTCCAATGATAATAAGCCCTGGAGCATGAATTCAAAAGCCCCTAACTTCTCCTAGGCCCTAAACCCTAAACTCAAAACTCTATAGCCCTAAACCCTAAACCTAAATTTGCAAGTTCCCACAAGCCGCATCCCCAAGCGCGAGTCCCGACCCCACAACGGAAACCTCGGGCTTCAAACTTCAAAGGCCTCGAAGTTCTGCGCCGGAGCCATTGATGAGAGCCTAAGTGGGGCTTCTTAACGAGGTGTTCCTGACAAAGTGCTCCTTGTCATAGAGACATTTAAGGCAAACCTTATAATAAAGATCGTCCGATCGTCCGGTAAATGCAAACCCCAGCTAAGTAGCAGAGTAGGTAGCCTTGAAAATTTTAGTGGTACTATAATAAACACTCTCAAAAGGTTAGCCTGTAAATCCCCCAGGATGCTGGACAAGTAAGCAAAGCTTTCGAAGTAAACCCTAAACCCTAAATCATGAGGAAAGCCCGTCGATTGAACAAGCGGCGCGAGCAGTTGCTGACAGAGCTGGAAATCACTCTCTCCAAGGTTCATTTCCGTGTTCAGGGGTCGAGGATTTGTTTTTGGACGGGGTTGGGGCTGTTGGGGTTTAGGGTTTGGGGTTTAGGGTTTAGGGTTTAGGGTTTAGGATTTAGGGTTTAGGGTTTAGGGTTTAAGGTGCCCCTTGCACCTACACGCAGGCGCACACACACACACATGCATGCATGCATGCATGCATACGTACGTAGATATGTATGTATGCATGTATGCATGCATGCATGTACACATACATACACATACACATACACGTGTTCGTACTCATAGTCATGCTCACACTCGTCCATACATATATGCATACATACATGCATGCATATGCACATGCATAAAAATGTACGTATGTGTATAGGTTCAAACAAACAGATGAAACAGATGGACAGAGAGATAGATAGATAGGTAGGTAGATACATAGATAAGTAGATAGATAGACAGATAGATAGACAGATGGATAGGTAGACATAGATAGATAGACAGACAGGTACAGACATAGACAGATAGATAGATAGATATAGGCGTGTCTTTGTCTGTGTATATAGAATATTTACAGATTGTGTATGCTATGTAAAAATTATGATCAACTTTCCGTCCGTAGGCCCTCGACGGAGCCGATGACTTATGCAGGCGGACGTGGAACTGGCGGCCAGGGAAAGCCTACTCACTAGACGCGTTATCTTCTGCCAGAATATGGTGGCATCCGAAGCCCGTAGACATCCTCAAACCAAACAAACGACTCGACACTCGACCATGGATTTCCAAACCTGAGTATACTTGGGACCTGGCGTTGGTGATAGCCTGCGGTGAAACTTCAGTTGCCCTTGGTCCTGACGCCAAGGTAGGCTCCAGGTACATGCCGGAGCTCGTCGTCTCACAGAAAAAGTTACCCGTTACCTCTGCATGCCAACAGTTCCCCTGCAATCTTCGACCCTGGCTAAGCATGACATCCTGCTCTGGCAGCTGCATCCATCAAAGGCTGATGGCGCATTTCCAGCGTGCCAGAGTTTCAGGCTGCAGATGCCTCGGCCGCTCTGCTGGTACCCCCGGTTGCATCACAGCGACCTGCTGCGACAAGCTGGGGCACTCACCATGTCCTGAAGGCTGACATCAAACTGGCTGCCTGCAGGGGATGCAAACATTAGACGCGACCAAATGACATGGAAGAGGTGTCATGATTGTAGCGTTCAACAGCAGCCTTGATGTGACCAGCCTCCAATCTGCGATTGCACACCGGTGCCGGCAGCGTCCATGGCGGCCGGGCCGAAGAGCAGCGCCTACAAATCTGCAGGCTGTAACTGACCCGTGGTGATTAGAGCATGGCTACGATTACGGCCCTAATGAAGGAACCCCAGATCGACACTCTTTTCTGTCCAAGGCGGGTCCAAACATCCAAAGCTCGCGCAGAGTCTATCCATAGATGGTGAAAGGCTTGCCCATCGTGCTCTTGATGTGCAGGCGCTTCACCTGGAACCGTGCCATGCGCATGTGTCGAAGAGTGGAAGGCTGAAAGATGCATGAAGAAGCCCGTGAGGCAGGCAGGTGGCATTGTTCCAGTTCTTTTTCAGCAGGGACACCAAGAAATTGATCGCCATGAGGCAATTCTGCCTCGCACCAGGTGTCGCAGTTCTAAGAACAGAGGAACCTCGCATGTGCAAAGGGTGTTGTAAGTGCAAATGTTGTTGCCGCGCTGCCTCAGCTCATCTGGTGTCATAGCAACGTTGCCCACGGCAACGCCCATGCAGAGCACCTTCTTCAGCTGGAACTTCACCTTGCAATAGTCGCAAGATATCTCTCAGGGAGACGGCATTGTACGTAACATTCATCTGCAAAAGAGAAAATTTCGCCTTGCCTGGCTTCGGACTTCGGTCACCTTGGTCTCCAAGTTGTCCGAATGCTGCACCAGAGTCGGGAACTTGCCGGCCTGTCAGATTCCGGCACAGCTTCTTTGAGAGTTCGTATCTTCAGCAGAAGAACGCGGTGTGCGTTGGATCTCCTTCGGAATCCTTCGGATTCTTCTTGAGTGCGGCCAACTACAACGCTTGCAAGGACGACGTCAGAGTCACATCCCCAGTGCGAGACGAAAGCTCACGAAAAGCAGCTGAGGTCGGCTGCTGCTGATCGGCTGCAACCCCAAAAAGAGCGGAACTTGTTTCTCCACCGATCTTACGAAGCTCAAGCCTCCTGTAAACATGATTTCGTGAAACCCACTGTGAGCACGATAAACCGCCGTAAATCAAAACAACCCTGCAATTTGTACGGTGATATCACGCACTTTGCAGAGCCTTGTTCAAGCCGGGTCCCAGCAATCGCGGGATCTGCGGGATCAAGACCTGACGGGGACATGGAATAGCTCTTGAAGACCATGGGGGCCCTGTTTATACTGCTGCTGAGGCTATTGATTGTGTGTGAGTGTTGTCGCTAGCATTCCTACTTTTCCTTTCACTCGCAAAACGGTGCTCCCAGCATTGCATAATAGTTTTTTCAGTAGTAGTACTTAGCACCACCACAGCCCCTGCTGCTCGTGCAAGTACGGGAAGTGGCAAGAGTAACGTTACATAGTATTACTACAGGAACTGCTTGCAAATTGTCATTCTCTTGTTATGACCTGATAAGCAGTGCTACATCGACCTGAGCAAGATCTCTTCGAAGAAGGCTTGAGCCTGAGATGCGAGGAAGGCATCGAAGCTGTCGGCCAACCTCACGGAGTGGCGAGCTCAGATGCGCAAAGATCCAGAGGATCTCAGATAACCAAGCTTTCAGGCTTCTTAACCATCTTCTTGTTCTTGTTCAGCTTCTTCAGGTCCTTCCCCGCCCAGGGCTTGATGCATTCTCATGGCAATTGTAAGGGTCTCTCTGTCCTCCACGCTCTTGAAGGGAATGTTAGCCTCACTTCCAGAGCATGACCGGGTTCTCTTGCGTCGCCGGGGCCAAGGAATCGAGGTCCCGGCCCGCTGGGCCTGCTCGCAGTGAACGGCATCTCCCAGAACGCACACCTTGGTCCAGGAAGATCGGAAAATCCACGATAATGAATGTCATGCGTATGCCAGGCCTTCAAGCGTGGACGGGGAACGTGCGGAAGCTTGATGGTGCCTGGCTTGGGGGCCCTGCCATCCTTCTTCAGTTTACTGGCAACAGAATGCCACAGAGAAACTGCTGAAACCCCTTAACTGGAGCTCGGAGTCATGGCCTGCGAAACGCTTGTCGCGCTGGGTGTCGTAGTCCTTGAGGCCGATCTGCAGCTCAACCTGTGCCGCGAGAACCACTGCAGTTGAGCTGTGTCTGTCTCCCAAAACTAAGTTGTGAGCAGTTTCAAGGAACTTTCGCTGCTTCTCCTTGCTGCCTTCGAGGATTCCGGCCTAAGTCTTTACTTAGAACGAAGTCTGATGTTGGCAGCGCCAGCAGCATGGTGACGACTGAATATGTTCTGCCAACCTGTTGCAGCCTAAACAACATCCGTGGTCCCGACAATGCCCTTCTTGAGGTTGTCGATGTTAAGCTTCGACATGGCGGCTGTGATGCCTTGGACCCGACCTGTCTTGCGACCTCCCTGAGCCCAGATGCGGAAGGTGCCAAAAACTAGACAGTCATTAAGTGCTACAGGGTTGGTGCCGGGTAGCAGCTTGAGTGCATAAGCGGCCATTGCCTTGGCAAGACCTCGGGCGAGGTTGGTGAGCTGCTGCGTGGTCCATCCCTGCAGGTGCCTGGGTAAAACCCTTGCGCAAATGTATAGTCCAACTCGTCCAATGAATTTCGCTGGAAATTATTCTGAATGCTGGTCACAAGGCCATCTAGACTCTAGATGTCATGTCAGCTTCTCCTTGACGGACCTCGGAATCAAGGAGCAGGCTGAACCTGCTATGACACTCTGAGGTTTGTGAGTCGACGAAAATAAACACTAGCTGCAAGGCCGAGGCCCATGAATCGATGGACTCTTCACAGAAGACCCTGCTTCTCCCAGGTGTCGGGCGGCTTCGTGCAGCAGGCCGCCTATCAAGCAGCCGAAGCCATGGCCGCCTGGAGCCAATTTCTGCTTTCGGCCCTTGCGGCTGTCGGGCCCCCGCAGGGGCGCTCAGGACTGTCCGTTTCAGGCGGCTGCCGCGCCCACGACGGCCGTCACTGCACGAGCCCGGCCGAAGTTTGACCTGCAAAGCGACGCACGGCTCGGAACATTCAACGATATTCAACGTGTTCCGCTGCTCAGTGCCACCGGGCGTCAGCTGCAGCGAGGAGCTGCCTAAGATTGCCTCATCCCAGGTGGCCTTCGCATTCAGCGCAGACTTCGACGAGCGCATGCGGCGAGCGATGTACATGTTGGTAGCGATTCGCGCTAGATCCCTTCAAGGGTCTCCGGAGTTACGGCACTGTCATACGAAGGATGCCCCATGCAGACCCAAGAGTAGCCTAGGGAACTGCACATGCAAGGGGGGTGCAACCGATTGCAACCGTCCTAAGCCACTTTAGAGGCAGCCGTATGCAGAGTATCGGAGAGCTTGGGTTTTTCACAGTTTGTGGGAGGAACCGTTCGAAGTGCGGTTCGAATCTACAGATCATTCTGAGTTTGGCTCTCTCCCCGAGACGAAGGCGGATCCCGCTGCACTCTTTGCCTCAAGCGTGGGCTGTGAGTGAAGCTGCAGCCTTGTGGAGGACCAGACCTGGGCACGAACTCTGGCAGAATAGTTGGCCGCAAAAGCAGAGGCCCGCACCATGTTCACCAAGTTAGACCCGGCAGGGAATCTGGCCCTGTCTCAGGGTTCAGGCTCCGTTGCATTGCAGCACCTCACATCAACTCAACATCTGTCCTGGCAGCCGTCGACTTCGACGAAGGCCCCGAGTGGCAGACGACCTCGGCAAGCTCAAGCAGAGACATCCTCCCCCTGCCCGGCTCGGCCCTGATTCAAGGTCCCGGCTGCTGCAAAAGCCTGAGGTCCGCATGACAAACAGCTGGCAGGGAATCTTGAGACACTCTGCAAGAAAAGCTCCGACATCAATGCTCAGCATGTTTCCCAGACCAGGTCATGTAGAGCTTGATCGCTAAAGTGCGCGACCTTGCAGCCAGGTCTCTGCGTTGTAGAACTGGTCAATGGGTATACCTGGGCATCCCCACCTTGGGAAATGCCGCCTCAGAGATAGTCTCGAAAGCCGACTTGCCTTACACCTGCACCCTTCCAGGGTCTCAGGCCTCAGTGCTGAATGCTAGCAGCAACACTTGCACGGTACCCTCATCCGATTAGGGCCCGACAGTGCTTGAAGTGTCTCGCGCATTGGGCTCGAAGGTACGGTGCAGTACACTGACGACGCCTTCCAACACAAGTCGACAGAAGGCGTGCACTGAAGTGCCCAAGGACGGCATTCGGATCCTTCATTGATCAGTGGCAGGTCCACAGCCAACAGCCTGCAAGCCGGGACATACGCGCGGGCTTTGCGGACGACACAACTTGGAAACACCGTGACGATCCTGGCAAGTGTCCACACGACGTCCGCGAGCTACTGGGGCCGTGAAGTTGGCCTGAGAGGCAAAGGTGCATCTCAAAAATCAGCACACAGCTGCCTCTGGTCTTGCGCTGTGCTGCGTGCAGTTTGATCGAAGTCGCCTCGCAGATCAGACACTTTGGAGCCGCTCGCGCAGCGAAGCTTCAAGAAGCCTGCAGCAACTCGTCCGCGAGCAGCTTGCCGCAAGTCCTTCTGCTCAAAAACCAGACAAGCTCATCTCTGCAGAGGATAACTACCAAAGACCGTTTTGCTGCTTACCAGCTAACACGCTTCTGAGACGATCACAAGGCGAGGTCTCAGCCGTGCCTTGCAAGTGCAGCGGCCCGCACAGCGTTTGCGAGTTCTTGACCTTCCCAGATGGGGACATGGCAGGATGCCTTGGAGGCAACAATGCAACAAACCAAGGCTCCCTGCTGGTCAACCACGGTATGGAATCTTTCAGAGCAGCCTCGGCACATGGAAGTCACTACCGGTATCGTGACAATGACACTGGTGATGAGTTAGCGGACGGCCGTGTTCCTTGCTTCTGCTGACCTGTTTCAGGGCAAGTGGCAATCATGAAACCCTCAAATGTTCAGCAAAATGTGCTCTCGCCTGTTGGACTTCGCAAGGACTTACAGTCGGTCCACCATCTGCGCCTGCAGTACATCTCGAACCGCGGCACGACCACTCAGCCGGCACCGGATCGCAAAAAGTCTGGCTTTGTTGTACACAGGGCTGATTAAGAAGGTCAGGGAAATCAATCCACCCGAATTCTGCTGCCTCACGTGCACCTGAGAGGCAAGCATGCTACCCAGCGGGTTGTAGTGCAAAGCTTCAGGTGCACCGCTCAATCGAGTTGGACTCAATGTCATCACTTGCATCGCCACACAAGTTCGTCCAATACAATGATTTACAACACCGTGCACGGGTTCGCTTTGCTTGCTTGAAGCATATGCGCATGTGTCTGCTATTTTCATGCCGCACTATGTCTGTACAAGTGTATCTTGTGTACGCGTATGTGCATACTTTGTCGATGGAGAGCGACAGACCAACAGGCAGACAGAAAGACAGCATGGGATACGCAGTCAAGTTGAGTTGGTCAAGATAGGCCTTCATAATAAAAAGTCCACTGGTGTGCATGTCTTCGCGATTACGTTCGAACGCTTGCTGGAAGTGGCTGCTGATTGCAATTTAGCAACACGTGCCTCAAGGCTTGAATGTACAGGAACACCGCAGTTGATTGCCATTGATTGTGACAGCATAAGCGGTTCCTGCTACATACTGTCGTATGAGTGGTGATATGTGAAAGTCCGTCAAGCAAGTGCATCACAAAAGTTCGCCCCGTCCGACTGTACCACGGCTTGAGCCTGGATGCTCTGACTGTGCAGCAATGATTTACCCCTTCTCTGATCATTGAGTGATGTTGGGACATCAGAAGTTGGATGCTTTGCAGGTCTGCGACAGCGTATGACCTATTTAAGCCTGCACCCCAACAAGATTGACACCCAGCGACATCAGTTGTGTCGAGCGTGTGGGCACGATGTACATGCGTGTAAGTGTGTGTGTGTGTGTGCATGCAAAATGGTGCGAGTGTAAATGTAAGTAGGTGTAAGTGCAAGTGCATGTGTGTGAGTGTAAGATGCGAGTATCAGGTTAGCCCCCCACCCCGCACCGCGAATCCCCAAACCACTGAATGTGTGAACCGCCACTCATATCTCCTACGCCTCCCTGCCCTTCCAAAAAAGCAGTTTTCCGTAAGCCAATCAAGGCCCGATGCCTGAAATTGATACTATCAATCATTCGCTGCTTCTGAAGGCCTTCTCCTCATGCCATGCCTGCGAAACTCGCGGAGCGCCTGAACAACGAGTGCAGCACAAAAGCGGCCACTTAAAAAAAAAAAAAACATGGATCTCGGCCAGACCACCAACTGCCCCAGTCACCTGACCACTGATGCTACGATCGCCAGCAATGATTTCCACTGCTGAAGTGTTTACGGTACGAGCATTGTCAGTGTGTGCAGTGACTTCTGGAAGCCTTCTTGCCTCACAGCCCTTAAAGGCCTTAACCCTAACCCTGCCGAAACCTTAAGCCCGAGACGGCCTTGCCATGCTTGGCGACTGCCGGCCTCGCCGCCAGGCTGAGATCGAGCATGATAGGAACGGGGCGGACGATACATCATACATCCTACTTCCGCTTGGTTTTAGGGAGATCCTGAATGCACTACGTCCCGGCAAGCCTCTGCGTAGCCATCTCTCCAACCTGTTGAGGGCGCCGAGGACCACAAGGCACGAGACTCGCCACTCTCGGGCCTTCGTATGTATATCCCTGCCACCAACTCATTGCTCGGACATCATGGCTACATTGGACATAAGATGTCCGACAGGCTCGAAAGTAAACAACACTCAGAGACTCAAGACTGTCAGATCCCTTTCGGCATGTGACCTTAATCGGAGTTGACAACTAGTGAATGCCTTACGTACCACTACTATGGCTGAGCTCAGCAATTCGTGTTCGTGATCCATTCCGCAACTTGGGATTCAGACCTATACCGACGCTACCCGCGGCCCCTTGGCGAAGCCCAAAGTGAGGCATAGCAGAGCTGAACCATGACAAAGTCATGACAAGACCGCCCTCGCTTCGATCAACTCAAGCATACTGTTACTTCTGGGCAGGTTGCCGTCAGTGCATCTCGTTGCACAAATGCACAGCGCATCAACGACATGGATTCAAGAAATCCTCGATGCAATGCCAAGACAGCCCACCGGGGCTTTTTTCCAAGCAAGCTGGATTAGCAGCTGTCACTCAGCTGGGAGTTTGCCAGCTTGTCCTCGTCAGAGCTCATCTCGACGAAATCGAAATCCCAGACATCTGGCAACCCCAAGTGCGGCCAGCCCTGGAACATTTCAGCTGAAGGAGCTGCGTCTGTCGCCTTGCGTGTCCATCGGAATGCAGGGTAGCTTCCGTGCGATGGTCCGCTCATGGCCTGACAAGCCATCCGCTTGAACAAGCAAGCACTTGTGACCTTCGCATCAATTCCTCCATTCGGGATATTGTTCGCCATCGCGTCCAAATCCAGCCGGGCCATGATGGCATGCCCTGGCCCGGCAGGGAATCCTGGAACTGCATCCTTCGGATCGTTGCGCGTCATGGTTGAACGCATGTCGCCCAATTGACTCACTCCAGATCCAAAACGGCGGAGCAGAGATGCTCGCGGTGAGTCTTCGAAGGAGAACAGCTTGCCGTAAGACTCCTCAGCGATCTTGTGTCCAGACATCCGTCTGATGTCCTCAAAGAATGGACGGTTAAAGGCACCCCAATAGCCGCGTGAAGTGAGCTCTGTGGTAATGTCCGCCTGATGCGTCATGCCAGGAACTTGCTCCAGAATCCGGAGCGTATTTTGCTGCAAAGGTTGTCCAGGAGTAAACCTGTTGTAGTCCACCACAATCCATTGCGAGTTCCCGGTGCCTGTGTTCTCCTCTGCCATCATCGACGTCCACTGCGTGCCTGTCTTGGCCACGCGATTCACAGCCATGACATGTAGAAATTTGGGTAGCCTGGGCCTGTCAGGGTCATCCATGACCCGGCTGTACAACTTCTGGTTAAGGACCTCCAGCGTGGTATCCATCACTGCAAGGCCGTTGTCCATCATATAAAAATCATCGGTGCTGCTGACGCATCCAGGATATGAACTGAAACCCATCATCTCGTGCGACTGAAATGACAAAGGCAGATCAAACCGGTAGTACTTGTACACTCTACTCATTTTGCTGTAGTCGCCCCAGGTGGTGTGTCCAATGAAAAGATCCGAATTTGCAGGGGCCAGGCGCACGAGGGCTGTGCAGTGGCCATGCTTTGCCAATCGGAGCTTCCAGTCGGAATCGATCGTTAGAGCATCAGCCTGTGACACATGGGCTTCCAGTAGCGATCCTGCTGTAAAGTTCTGCACGTCGAGAGCATCATCGGAGCTTGCAGCGCCACTTCTCTCGGCCACCGCTTGCGGCCGGAAAGCCTCAATGAGCTCAGGGAGCTCGGCATGGGAATTGATGAAAAGCAGATCGACCATGTCTATTGTCCGCACGCCCTTCTCTCCCGCAACGAGGTTGTAGGCATCCTTCAAACCCCACATCTGCAGAAAAAGATACCTCACGTGCTTCCAGTATGGATCGGCCGGCTCTCCCTCAGCCGTGCCGGCGGCCAGGTGGCACATGCGCATAATGTGCTGAATCTGCTGATTGAAAGAGTTCCTGATGTTCATCATGGCAAGAGTGGTATCCTCATTCGGCTGTAACAAAGGATAGAAATTGCTGTAAAACTGGGACATGCGTTCCGCCGTGAGGTAGCCTTCCACAATCCCTGCGCTGTACATTTTCAGATCATTGGAAAAGAAAGCACCTTTGGGAGTGCTGACATGCAGCTCCATCCAGCCGGTTTCGCTCAATCGATCGGCGAGTCGGGCCCAAGACACTGCTTGATCCTCCACGGCATTCACCAAAACGATCTGGTTGGTTTCGTTGTCCAGGGTGGCCGAAAGCCCCTTGAGCTTGTCGATGTTCTTGCGATCGAAAGTCGCCTTCACATTAAACAGCGGGGTCAGGTTCGGGTGGACACCGCGAGCCTTGATGGCGAGTCCATAGCACACTATGCTGCTCAGCACCAAACAGCGTGCCAAGCACTTCATTGCTACATGGGGGCAATCGGAGCCGCCCGTCTTGAGCCAAAAAGGTCACATAGATTGTTCGCGTTTTCTCGTCGATTCAAGACCAGTTCTCCTTCAAGATTCCGGGGGCCAGCACGCTCGTTTTCATTGTGACGACTCTTCAGCAGCGGTCCTAGGCGGGCTTTGTACCTTGGCAGGCTGATCACGTTGACTCCCTCTCAAGACAAGCCAATCGCATATTGCTCTGCAACATGTATAGAATAGTATAGAAGCGCGGCAGCCCATCTGTGCAAAGAACGCGGGTCGAGTCTCCGGCCGGAGCCATCAGATAGGGATCGAAGGAAGCCGCTTGACCTGGCGCCCAGCTGCGTGTGCGACCAAGAGAATTGCATCTCAGGTCGATGCCAGCGTCGTCTCCGTCGCCGGGCAGCATCGGCGTGTCCTTGCATGCATGATTCTTGCTGGTAACCAGACAAAGACACTTTTTAACAGCCTACAGGCGCTGTACGTTTGGACAGGTTCGGTATCAACTGCCACTCGCGAGCCACCCCTCAATGTGCCTGTGGGCGATCTGTCTGGTTGTCATCGCCAGGTGGCTCCCCTGCATAGTGGCATAGCATTCGCAACTCAGCAACTCTCGGATCAAATCAAGGCCGAAGGGAACCAACCTCCCATGGAAAAGTATCAATCGGTGCGCCTGCTGGCAGCATCACCTCGCTCGGACCATCACGGCTGAGCGCCGCTGGAGCTTCGGACATCTCAGCCTGCGTCGGCATTGAGTGCGAGTAAAGGCAGTCTCAGCGCATAGGGGTGCGAGGAGTAACGGGAACCGCTTTGGGGAGTGGTGGAAACCAGTTCTGCAAACCGTAACCGAAGCGGGTGCTAACCGCGCCTCGAGCGTAACAGAAAATATCCCTGGAAAGCCAGGCAGCGTAAACTATGTTGTAACTCTTCTGTGGGGGACCAGTTTTCGGTCCCCTACTTTGCGACCATGAAAGCCTTATGCTCAGGCCTCCGTCTCTGTGTTCGCGGCACATAGTTTCGGGTTCAATAGAGGTCCGAATCCCTGTAAGTGTGGAACCGGAAAAGCCGTCCCTGAGTTGGAATGTGAAAGCCGCCCACTTCCTGCTACGAGGACCGGCCTGAGGGCTGGTTCCCGGGAACCGGCCGGTTGCTTTTGCGGTGTTGGGCTCCGTTCCTGTTACGGGCTCCTTCCCGTTACGGCCTGTTCCGGCTACGGAATGTACCCCAGCGCATAGAGGTGCTTCAAGCACAGGGCAATGTACGATCTGATTGGACTCCAGCCACGGTCGGACAGAAGTCCAGCAAAGGTGACGTCGATCGAATGCCGGTGCATTCTCCTAACCCTTCGTTGCCGACATCTCCATCGTGCTGCGCTCCCGGGGTTGGACGCTACGGCGACGGGTGCCAGAGGCTCATAACAAGCTTGGGAAGTTAGTTTTCGTAACACTGCAGCTGTTCGTGCGGGAGGAGTTGGCCCTGGTGTGGCCGGAGCTGAACGCACGACCTCGGGACCCTGATATACGCTTTTTGCATTAGATTATAGAAGCTGTTCACTCTTTGTTGTGTAGTGTATATTTCCTATACTTGTTTATCTTTTTTGTCTACATTGCACGTTTCGTTTCGTATCCTCTAAACCATTGCTTGCTCTGGCACTCTTCGAGCATGTCACTTAACGGCTTGCTCTATCTTGCTCTGGCACTCTAGGTGCTTGTCTTCCCCCATGTCGTTTTCGTGGTCCGCAGCTGCTCAGACACGGGCATACCGGAGCGTAGACGGGCGTACTCGAGCGCGCTCCGGCGTATTCGGGTATACCCGGGCGTGCCTCTGGAGGGGGATGCTTGATCATCACCTTGGGAGCACCTGCAAAGTGCACGAGCGTTTTCGGAACCTATGCATGCACGGCAATCGGCTAGCATGCACCAAGAGCGCAGGCCTGTGTAGACTTCTTCGAAGAAACCACTCCGTCCTCCCAGAAGGAGATAGTCGATTTCCACCTGCTCCATACAGCAACTGCCACTGGCAGCTGCTTTTCTAAGGCTGCTAGTGCTCATGTGATGTCATGCAACCGCTGCGCGGCACAGGGCACAGCTTCAGATTACATCCCCAAATGGCCGGCAGTTGCCAAGGACATTTTCTTCTTGCTGCTTGCCGGTCCATGCTGCTGCACCTGCTGCCAATCCACCGAACTCCCAGGCATTGCTGGCAACGAAAGGGCTCTGAAGCTCCGGCCCTGCTGTAGGGTGGTGTTGGCTGCTTTCCTGCCATCAACGACCAATCCACGAAGCGCTGCAGGTAAGTAAGAAAAATCCCATGGGCAGGAGCTTTTGCGCGCTCCCGTGCGCCCTCGCCTTCTCCAGGCCGTGTAGCGCAGTGAGAAGCTAGCAGCTCCTAAGCTCCAACAGACCACCGCTCGCCGCTTCGAAAGCTGGGGCCCGAACTGCAGATGGGGCCGAATATGTGCTGCTTCATCCAGCGCGACAGCTGGAGTTCTCCCCCTTGTCAGTACCGTTGCATGCTGGGCCTTGGCAGGCTGAAGGACATGCACGCCCTTTTTATCAAAGCACTCCAAGGTTCTCAGACATCAGCCTTTGCGCTTGGGCTGCAGGAAGCCGCTTTGCCTGCGTTGGCTTTGCCGGCAAAAAGCACAGTCCATCGAAATGCATGCTTGCCAGGCTATGTAGCCATACGCAACGAAGCTCAATTCATGTCCCAGCCAAAGGACAAGTAGATTCTACTATGCTGAACTACGGGATTGATCTCACAAGGACAGGTGGAGCTTCCGGCCTCTTCAAATCCCGCTCAGCGCGGCTACAGAAAGCCGAAATCGGCTCCTCGGCTCTGCCAGTGCCACGAGCCAAGCTTTTCCACGAGCTTGCTCTTCAACTCAAAAGAAGCAACAAGGGGAGCTTTCTACAAATCTCCGGGCCGTCGAGGCTGCAACTGGTGGAGCCTGCTACTAAGGAAGCATAAGTTCCTGGCATCCCGAGATGACGCAGACACACACAGACAGGATGATTGGACGACACCACCGATGGCGTCATCAGATGCTTCAGAAAAGGCGGAGTGTTCGGTCCAACTCCATGCACAAATCGCTGGCTCTGATGTGAGGGCCAGTATACTTTGCAGAAACAAGTATATGCTTGCAGCAGAGTACCCACATGAAGAGAGCTTGAACTTGCTAAGGATTAGAACAACGATAGTCATCCAGCTGCGAGCAATACTTCTAGCGAACTAAAAACGAAAAGGCGAGCACGAGCCAGTGCTACCGCATCCATCTGCCGCCCTCCATTGAGATGGTCTGAGCGTTGACCGTTCTGGCCCCTTTGGAGTCTGGCCTTGTCCCGATCACATTGGAGGCTTCCTGCTACTGCCTTTGGGGCGTTGGTATCTGGTACCGGGTGAGCGAAAAACGGCCCGTCTTGTGATGTCTTAGGGAATGCAGCCGAGCATTGCGCGGTGCGCAGGGCAACATAATACCACCCAGGCTGGACTTCACAAAACTTGAAAGGCTCACAGTTCTGTGGCTGGCACGTGGTTCGGGGTAAAAGCTCACGCGTCTATGATAAGATCTGACCTTCTGTTCCGAACAGCGCGGATTCCCGGCATCTTTGTGTCAGAGCCATCCTCGTCCCTAAAGGGTTTAGAGGTTGGGTATTGGAGAACTAAGAACATGCTTGCAACCACTGAGCTTGATGTTGCAGCTGCTGCCGGACGCTCGCGAACTGTGATCCGCTCCTACGATCTGAAGGCCAGGATGGACGAAGAATCGAACACGACTAGTATAAGCATATTTATCCGCAGGCCGGGTAAACAGGCAACTGTGATTCCCGCAGAGACAGTCGGAGTCCCAAGAACCGCTCGTCTTTGGGGCAACCTAACTTTTTTCGTCAAGTGCAATCATCTTGGCGCGACAACTTCGAGCGAGTCTGGCAACTTGGCAAAACACTAACCACAAGGTCTCCAAAACCAAGACGTTGCTAAAAAAACACACACACACACACACAGAGAGGGGACACCTGAGGTCGACCAGCAAGCGTTGTTGTCTAGCGTTCGACGAAGCCGACGACGATGACAATGATGATGATGATGATGACGACGATGATGATGATGATTGTGTTGATGGTGATGGATATGATGATGGTGGTGGTGATGATGATGGAGATGATTGTGATGATGATTTTGATGATGATGATGATGATGATGATTTTGATGATGATGATGATGATGATGATGATTTTGATGATGATGATGATGGTGATGGTGATGGTGATGGTGATGATGGTGATGGTGAATGTTGGCGATGTTGGCGATGTTGGCGAAAATGGTGGTGATGGTGATGGTGATCGTGATGATGATGATGATGATGGTCATCATCATCATCATCACATCATCATCATCATCATCATCTTTATCTTCATCACCAACAACACCATCATCAGCAGCATCAGCGTCATCTTCGCCTGCATGGTCGTCACGAAACCCCCTGCACGCCTCACCTGGTGTTGCAACAGGTTTCAGCCGAGCTCCCAGCAAGCAGCTCGGGCCAATGTTTTTTCGCAGCCTTCGAAAGCAACCCCTTCAACCAAAGACCGGGAGTTGTGCACAGATTAAGCCGGCCTGGCAGCCCAAGTAAGCAAAGGCTGGCTCGTATGGCTGTCCTTCGTCCTGGACAAGTGCGAATGAACCAAACATCGGTCGGAACGGGGTGAAATGCACAGAACGAGAAACCGCTGGGGCTTGCCTTGACGAAACGGAGCAGATTCCCGTCATCTATCAGCTGCTCACTGCAGCAAATGGAATCCTGTTCTCCAGGGAACCAGCACCACGAATCAACCGGGAGCTGAAAGAGGGCCTCCAAAGCCAAGGCAATGTGCCAAACACCGGGAGGTCCAAAGACGAGCTCCCCTGCCTGTCTCTGATCACGATACCATAGCTGCGAGTGAGTCCATCCGCACTGAATACTCGAAGAAAGAGCTGCTCCTCCACGACAACCTCTGCATGGCTAAACTCCAGCTTCGCCTGCCCAAGAAATATCACCATGAGCTTTCTTGGTCTGGGAACTTCACACAGTGACGTGCACTCCGGCGCCTGCTGCAAAAGCGGCAGCAATTTCCCAAACCAGTGGATGGCAGGAACTTTCTGCAGCAACCTTACCCCGAAGTGTACCCTTCGACACGAGATCATGTCACACAGAGCAGTTGTTGCAAACAAGGCTCCTGCCTCTTAACGTGCCTGGTCGTCAGGTGGTTGCTCACATTGGTCGGAGGCAACGTGAGCAAGCCAAGTTCCTGTCGATTCGAGAAGGCTGCACAGGCCGCCATGATTCAGGGCCCACCAAGGCCCACCTGTCCCAAGTTTGCGTTGGCGACGGCTTCCGCCAGTGCCTCCAACTCCTCAAGAGAGCGGAGTTTCTGCACTACCCCGCCACAAACAATGCAGACCGGTGCAACTGGCATCCTCGGGCTTGAGGAAGAGCCAGCGCTTGCGGCCATGAACCAAGGCGTTCCAGTAAGCAGTGGAGTCTGAGGTATGCTGGGAGCGAGGGATCATTGCATTGCCTTTTGGCCGGACCCAGCCTGGATCCACGTGCAACATGCCTCCTGCACCGGCAGGGCCGGCGATGATAAAGCCCTGCACGGACTCGGCGTAGTTCTCGTCCTCCAACATCCCCGCCTGGGCGCTTGCGAGCTCGTGACCGCCGGCGTTGCTGTGGGGAACTTGGTCATGGACTTGAAATGCCTGCACCTTGCTTTCTGCCCATGCCTGATACGACTCTACACTGGCCTGTGGAATCCTTAAAAAGGCCTGCTGGCCTCGTTGAGCCGCGGCAGGTAGTTTCCTCGCTCTGGCGTGCACGCACACTTAAGAGCTTCTTAGCCTCGACAAGAGCACGAATCCCTTGCAACCGAAAGTCTGCCCAGGACCTTGTTGGGACCGTCGCCTTGCTGCGTGACTGCCCTGGGCCAACTGGGTTAGAGGCGCCACTCGCCACAAACTGCCCTTGTACTGAGACCACTGCGCAAAAGGGCAGTCGCTGGAGAAAGGTGGCTTCAAAATGATGTTCTCCAGAAAGAGATTCTCGCTCTGGCACAGGCAACAAGAAATGCTACCACGACATCTCGCGGGCCTGTTGCCTTTGCATGGGTCGAGAAGAACTGCTGCAGATGCTTCTCCAGGTGGAAGTGCCTATACTTTCCTCAGGGGCAAAAACGATGAAAAGAGCTAATGTCTTTCCTTTCTAAATACAAACTACTAACCACATATCACAGACCGTTTTGCAGTTTTGCTCCTGTCCTTCAGGGTCTGCAAGCTGCTCCCAGGTCCACTCCTTCGTGGCCGGCCAGCGCCTGACTAAGCTGCGAACAACGACGGGCTCTTTGTGGCGGAACTCGTCCAATCGCCCGGGGAATTCGTCAACCTCGACCTTGTGCATGAGACCGGAAGCATGCAAGGTGCGTAACACTGCATGACGATGTCGAGCTGTCAAATCTGCCTCCTAAGGAAGACCAGTGTTGCCTGTCTGCTTCTAGGATACAGAGGAGGATTCGACAACACGAATGGCAGCGCTGCGACTGCACACTATGCACACTCACGAGTCAGAGTGTGGTTTTCCGACACTCTCTGCCGCATGCTCAAGCCCGCGCCTTCGGAACGGGTCTTCTTCCCTCCACCGACCCTGCAGGCGTGGACATATTCCCAATCATGAATGTCAGCATGGTAAAATCCCATGACGTCAAAAGCGGTGGATCGATAATGCAGAAGCCTGGCCTGCTGTTGCAAACTCTGGATGGAGCTTTCCAGGCAAGCCATCCCTTCTCCCCTTTGTCCATGGAGCAACTTCATGGTGTAAAACCGAAGCATTGTCCGAAATGACCTCGAATCCCTCGATTTCGTCTTTGAAGAGATATTTCTTCAGTCCATCCCATGGGTTTGCCCACGCCAAGAAGTCGGGCACGAAGCTACCGGAGGCCACCACTGAGCCGCCCAACAGCACCGCGCATGAGGCAGCAGACGGAGGTCGCATGTTCGTTGGAGATCCTACAAGTTAGTACCAGGCTACAGCGGCCGCAAGGTTTTGTGCTGAGGGACCGATTCTGCCTGCAGCTCAGAATCTGTCACTTGTTGCTGGGGAGACTATGCCCTGATGAGTTCACACCCCGTATGGTTGCCGACGAAGTTCTGCTGCTTTCGTCAAAAACAATGTAGGTAGCTGCTCCTTAGAGCCTGTCACAGGCAAATTGAGGGAAGCCGATGCTTATGACCGAGGTGTTGCAAAGATCACAGAATCGCTGCGCGCCATGTCGAGCTCGCGGGGCTGAGTGCTTGGAGCACCTGTCTCATGTCCACCAGCTCGATTGGTCGCACAAAGAGAGACAAAGGGGGCGTACTGAAAGGATCGTAGCTCTCCTGCTCAACCTGCCATGTTAAAAAATCAGTTGTGCACGAGAGCCCGGGGCCATGAAATGCCAGGAATTGCCTTGCCTGTGGAACATCTGGTGCAGGCGGTGCAGGCGCAGGTGCCAGGCTCGCCTCGGCGGATGATCTCTGAAGGGGAAGTTTGTTGCTGTGGCCCCCTCTTGGCTTCCGGCAGGCTCCGGTGCAGGTGCGGGGGTCATAGGTGCTTCCGGAACTGTGCTCGACTCCGCCTTCTCGTTTGGCACCTACGCAAACTGGCCCAAGCACCGATCCGCCTCAATTCAGCCGAACTTCCTATCCCCCATTGCATGCCCCAGCTTTCAACGAGCACAATTTGTTTCCATCCAGCAGCGGAGGCCAGATGTGTGCTTGATGTTGGCCCAAGCAAAGGGGCTTGAAAGGTCGCGCCGTGTCCCGTGTCCCGGGCTGGAGTCGAAACGACAGTTCTGCACCGTGTCCCAGCATCGAGTCGAAACGCCAGTCGGCTCATACTCCCGACGCAGTCCCGAATGATCCCAAGGCAGAAAGGGCAGGCACGTGATGCTCATGAAGTTGGCCCAAGCAGGCGCAGGGCTTGAAAGGACTAGAAGCTGATGCTCATGATGTTGCGGTGCCGTGTCGCGGGGTCGAGTCGAAAAGAGCAGTCGGCTGTCCCAACCTCGGACCACATGATCCTACGGTTGAAAACGGAGGCACGTGATGCCCATTATGTTGGCCCATGCAGGGCTGAAAGGACTAGCTAGAGTCTCATGATGTTGCCGCGCCGTCGCAACCCGATGACACCACGACGTCGGCCCGTGCGATCCCCAGGTCGAAAAGACAGGCATATGATGCTTATGATGTCGGCGCACGGGTGAAAGGATTTGAAGCTGATGCTCATGATGTTGCCGCAGAGTGTCTGAGGGTTGAAAAGGGACTCGAAAAGGTATCGGCTAATACTCATGACGTCGGCCAATGTGATCCAAGGAACACAGGGCTTCGGTCATAGCTCCTCAATTGTCTTGCCATATGTACTATTACAAAGGTACTCGAAAGCTCTATCAACACAACCCCCAAAACCCTTCCGGCTCCAAGCATGGCTCCCAGCCAACCAGAAGCGACTTTCCGATCTCCCAATTTCCAGACATCGCACGCCAGATTGCAAAACGACCCATTGAAAACAGAGCAGAAGCTGCAACTTGGAACCCACGTGGCCTGCGCTTCTCCCATCTCAATGTCGACTGTTGTGGCCACCATTTCTCCAGTAGCCGGGTCCCATTCCATAACTTGGTGCTTCTGGCGAATCGGCGCCTGTCGAGATGCTGCCAAGACCTGTGCCTTCAGCGAGGCCCAGGCGGCCTGAGCAGGAGGCGGCTGCGTGAAGCCAACGCCTCACGCGGCTGCCGACATGCGAAACCCTCTGTGCATCCGAGCCACGGCCGTGGGCCTGCACGCGTCGGGCTGGGATGGCCCTAACAGGACACAACATGGCTTTAAGAAGGAAGTATGGGGAGCTCGCCTGATGCGAAGCCCCACCAGCCCCAAACTGGGTTACTGGAGGGCCTCAGATGCTCAGTGGTTATGCCCCAACGTCTGATTCGCAGCGACACTTTTGCAGTGCATGTTGGCAGATGAGCCGTCGGCCATGCTTTGACACAGCGACAAGCGCACTTCTGGCTTTGGTTTGTGCGGCAGACCACCTGGGCTTCTTTGCAATTGCCAATAGGTGCTTGCTACCAGTCTCTGTGGCGTATCGAGCAGGGCTCGGTAAGAAGCCAACGCGGCAGTTTGGCTTTGAACTGCCTCGCTGTTCCATCACGGGCGGCGATATCCAAGCTCTGGTTTTGTGATCGAACGACGGTCTCAGCCGATTGCCCAGGGTGGTGGCCCTTGGAGGCAACACAGCATCCGAGATCCATGACAGTATGTTGGTATACCATATACCCTAATATGGCATTATGCCAGCATCGATCCCCCTAACAGTGCAAGGTGACCACGACGACCCCGACCACAGGGACCACCACGACGACCACGACAACCAGGAGACCACCAAGAATCCACTTCTCGGGGCCCAGGGCCCAAATGCATTCCCCCAAGTACCGGCGGGATGCAGGACAACGGCGCTTATGCTTTCCCCCCTTAACTTTCGAAATCCACAAGATCCACAAGGACACCCAAAATATTTTCTCACACTCGACTAAAAGACGGTCGATACGTTGGATGTTACAACGAATCTGGATCTCCTGCAGCGGTAGCACGCCGTATCCTCCGTCAATACTTGGATGTGAGCAAAAAGTCTGCGCTGCACAGCGGCAGCTGCATAGCACACTGATCCTGCTTAAATAAGAGGACGCGCGGACCAAATCTTCGCCGCCCCACAGCAGAAGGCACACACTGAACGTTAGAAAGCCACACTGGCACGACACTGTTTCGGGAATAACATAACTCATAAAGTGACACAAGGAAACATACTGAAAGGTCGAAAACACAGTGTAACACCAAAAACGATCATAGAAGATAGCATAACACAGTATACCATCATTTAACATGATATGACTGACATAATCTAGCATAATATACCATTACATAAGACATTTATAGCATAACATTCATTATGCGACATGTTAGTACGCAGCAGAACAGGTGAGAACAGAACAGAATAGAATGGAACAGAATAACATAGAATGTTTTCAGGTAGTACAGAATGTAAGACCGCGTCATGACACACAGGGCCCCTAAACCCCTAAACCTCTAAACCCCTAAACCCTAAACATTCCTAAACCCCGAAACCCCTAAACCCCTACACATCACAACAGACGACTGAGGAAGAGGCGCGCAGCACCGGGCCCCGAAGCCGGAGGCGGCGGCCTTCTTGGGGTCTGTCCATCCAAGAGCCCAAGGGCTTTGAGTATGAATATAATACCATAGGCTATACTACAATGATAAAATATAACATGATATAATGCAATAGTATAAGTTGATATGATGTAATATGATAGAATATAACGGAAGTTAATGTAAAGCTTCTGGGCCCCCGAAGCACTTGGCCAGGCCCAAGGGTCCCACGGTGGTGGCGGGGGCGCCACAGCGCTCAAGGAGCTCGGAGCTGGATTGGACCTCGGCTCTTGGGTTTAAGGGTTTAAGGGTTTAGGGTTTAGGGGTTTAAGGGTTTAAGGGTTTAAGGGTTTAAGGGTTTAGCTCTTGGGGTTTAGGGTTTAGGGGGCCAGAAACAAGGCGCGACCTCGTATGCAGGAAGCCCAAAAGACACATGATCATGTGTAGAATCGGCTCAAGTCTTTCGCACGTTCCTTGCCCAGGCCATCGCTCTCTTCTGTTGGACCAACCACAGCAGAGGAGACCACCCTTTGAAGAGAGCCCGATCAGGCAAGCAGACACAGCAAGCAGACAGCTGTAAGTTAAGTTTAACCGCCTGATAGACTTCACGATGTCACTTAATTACTTCGTACTGCCACTTGTTGATGTGATACCTTGTGACCAGGTCACGCTCTAAGATCAGGGGGTTGGCTATGTTCTGCAATGGCTGCGTGATCTGCGCTCTCCAACCAACTTGTTGTGTTCGTTACACCTCCCGAGGGGTTTCTCGGACGGGGCTGTCCTCTGTTTTTGCCCGGGGTTCAATCCATTTTCCCCAAATCCTCAACTTGTCATCAGCACGACAAGGCAGCCGCCACTGCGATGTGTCCACGCTGTACCTTCACAGAGCACATTACTGATAATCTGTAAGATAGTCATTGTATTCTGTGAACTTCTCCACGCAGCACGCACAGGGCACTTCTCGCAAATACTCCGATACAAGAACTCTTCGTCTCCGCGGTACCTTAAACACTGTTATTTCGCGATCGTCTTCCGACAAGACACGCAGCTGCGGAGCCCTGAAAGCGGAGGTCGGTGCTTCTCCAACAAATAATCAACTTTGTGCACATTGTCTGGCTTGTGCACCGCGTAAATTTCCACGATGCGGCGTCGATACCTTATCTCGGGCGTATCGTCAAATCCGAAGGGCGAGGATGCAGCAGCAAAAAGCGGCGTGCTCCGGCAATGTCATCGTGTTGATCAGTCCGCTTTGGCCTGCAGCTGATGCATCTGTGTGGGAAGTATGTGCGAAGTTGCAAGGCCGACTGTGTTGCGAATCCCTTCTTTTGGCCTGTTGAAGGTGCAGCTATTGAAGCTGGGAAACCAGGCGCAGGGGGCATCGCCTTTCCGAGAAAAGTCTGGACATGATTCTGCGCGGAGCGAAATTAGCCTTGTATAGCAAAGCAGGGCCACCAGGCATCTCCTCTGCTTCGATCCATGCACTTGCACAGAACAAAGAACTGCAACTTCAAGCCAGTCCTGAAGCGACTGCAGTGGTGCAGCGCATGGCAACATTGAGGAAGTCTCAAAATGGCTCAAAGCTTAAAGCAGCCACAAAAACGATCGGGTTATGTCGCTTTAGGTAGGGATGGCTGGTGGGTGGCAGCTGCGGCAGCCGGGAGCACAAGTCATCCGTACATCCCATGTCCTGATGACAGCAACTCCAGGCATCTTGAGCAGTGAAGCAGCTTCAACATGTGGCGCTTCGTCGGTAGTATGCACGAGAGGGTTTGTTGAAACACTCGCCTGCACTCCTTCGAAACGAGTAAAAGCCAGGAAGCCCCGATGTCACAGGTGTGATTCTCAGCGCATGACATGCCCACTGTCAGCAAAGCCTGCTGAAAACTTTGGCTCGCATACGGTTTGCAGCTATTAAAACAGCTGCACCACATAGCCTGACTCATGGCATCTCCATTTATACATCATGTCAGAAAGGTGTGCCGCAAAGCAGATACACATACGGTTCAAACTGGCATGCGGCGTAGAAAGCAAAACACCGACGCTACGACAGTATCAACTTATACGCGCAATCCACGGGTGGGAACAAGTATGGCTCTGAACCTCAGCGGATGTCTCTGCACGTTCAGGATCTGCGAAAACTTGAACATGTCTGGCTTAGGGCCTGCCCACCCAGTCGGAGTACGTCTGTGTTTCTCTAGTAGGGTGGATGCTGGCAGGAGTACAGGTGGGCACGTTCCAGAGCTTAAAGGATAAGTCGGCTCGTCGTCCTTGCTGCACTACGCCAAAGACAACTTATCAGACGTCGCAGAACAGTGTAGCAACAAGTTGTTTGCATGCTTCCTGTTGCCACACACCCACGGCAGTTTGTTTGCAATACCAGCTGGACAGAAACTAGGTCCGCCATTGGCAGAAGCAATGCTGCATCTTCACACAGAGCCTAGAATGACTTTTGCTCTTGCAGCTCGTCGCCGTCGAATGAAGAAGGAGTTTCGGTAGCAGAGCACGACATCTAGGTCGCATTTAGCTCACACTCGCGGTCACCTCACGGGGTGCCAGAGACTGACGCGGAGGCTGGTGCTTCTCGGTTTCCGGCCTCTCCTTCTCTGGGCGTCTGCCGGCGGCACGCGGGCCTTGATCCCTGGCACTGACCAGAACTGATAGGAATGTCAGCGCTCGCAACGTTAGCTCACCTGGCTCCTTCTATGCGCTCGTCGATGGCATCCTTCAGCAAAGCATTTTCCTTGCAGGGCGGGAAGAGAGGGATACTTCACGAGCATGAGGCGAGGCAGCCTCCCGGAGAAGGGTGTTCTCCTTGGCAAGGACTCTACATCAGTTCCCTTGGACTCAGGTCGTGGTCGTCGGGGCACCTCCCCGACAGCATCTAAGCGCTTCGTCAGGTCCGCCAAGCCCTTCTGTATGTCCAACACCTGGCCAGACTGCACTCGCCAGTGCACATGCCACGGGCGGTCACCCGGCTTGCGCTGAGGACTCTGCTGCCGAGCAAAGATCAGTGCGTGATAACTCCTCAAGAAAAGGACGAGAAGTAATGAACCAACCGACCCCCCGACGCATGCCGAAACTCGCTTGCCTCAAAGCGGGGCATGCTTTGGCCTCAATGTTGCCCCAATACTGTCACACTCATACCGGACCGGGATCATACTGAGTGCTTCGCCCCAAAGTTTTGTCCCACTCCGTCACAGCACGGTAATGCAAGACTGGCTGCCGATGTGTACAATCTACTTGCCTGGAACACTTTCAGCCAATGTTGCTTGAGCTCTGCGCGACTTCGTGCTGCCAAATATTTGCGAGTTTGCACATGCTGAAACGAACCCTTGAGGACTCTCAGTGCTATGTACACTGAGGCCACCGTGCACCGGCACACACTTCAGAATCTCGCGGCAAGATGACGACAGCCACAGCTGCGCGAACATGTGATGTCAGTGCTTCTTTTATCATGGTGCACCGATCTCTTCGACAATAGCACCGCAGCGCTCTTGTCCTTCGCGACCAAAGAACCCCGGTAAGGGGGGTGCGACCTGTGACAGATGCTTTCCCCTCTCGTTGCCTGCAGGGTCATAGTGGCAGATTGCCACACGTCGATCCTGGCCGAAACTGCAACCGACTCGTCGCGTTTTGCGCCACACAAGCTGCGTGTAGTGCCCCAGCCCGGCGCGATTGGGCCGGAACTTCCCACCCTGCGTGTTTCGAATCTCGTCGTACCAGCGGGCCACCACTTGCCCCGGCCAAAGGCCAAAGCCAACTGCCACATTCTCGCCGAAGGTTGCTCCCTGCTTGCTCTGCCGTTCCCTTGCTTTGCTGTGGGCCAGCCTGTCTGTTGGAGCCTTCTGCGCGTAGCTGCGAGCGGTCTGAAATGCTGCCATATCCCACTCTAGCATGTCGATTCCCGCAGCACATCTGTAAATGTTGTGTGCGGTCAGAAACTCTCTGGCGAGCTGAGGCTCTTCGTAGAGATGGAAGGCTGGGCAGACGCTCATTTTCTGCAGCGCCGGAGCAAGAAGTCCTGGCTCACTGGCTTCACCGAGCCAAGTCATGATCTCAGCAGTTGCAAGGGGTCCAGTATATCGCGATCCACTGGAAAGAAACATAAGAACGGGAAACTTCCAAACCTTGTAACTTCTGCAAAGCTGGGCATTGGAGGTGTCATGACAGTCCACAGCACCGACCTTGATGCCCAGTTTTAGCGCTGGAGCACTTACGTCTTGAAGGGCTACGGCCAGCTCCCGGCACCGCCTGCAATTCCCAGCATAGAAATGAACAACCCAAGATGACGCAGCAGACTTCTCTGGAAAGTTGCCAGCGCAGAGTGGAAGGATGAGATCCCCAATATAAGGCGGATGCGCAGCACAGCTCTCTCTGGGGGAAGAGTGAAAGTCTTTAGCAAGATCCAAATGCCACAGTAACCAAAAGAGACAGCTCCCAAGATGTCGCATTAGGGCAACTGGAAAGAAAAGACATGCCTAACCACGACGGAAGGCTGACATCAGCTCTTGGCTCGCAGGCTGCTGTCTACCATCGTCAAGTTGTGACTACTTTCTCCGTCAGACTTGTGAGAAAATGCTGCAGGAGGGGCAACAAGGAGCTCATAAGCTTCATCCGAACATGACCGTTGCTTCAAAATCGTCCACCACGCCATCCCCCGACACTGGAAATCTGAACAAGTTCCTCCTGCGCAATGCACGAATCAGCTTAGCATGGGGGCAGCATGTGGCAGCTTTTCTCGATGTTTGCAGGGGCTTCTGAGAACATGAATGATACTGATACTGTATCAATGATACTTTCCGGATGGCGTGCAAAAAGGAGCCAAAAGGGAAATCAAAAAGGGAAGGCTGCAAGTAAAAGCATTTAGACCAGAACCTAACTGGGACAAGCGTGGAGGTTCAGCAAGAAAGCATGGAAACTCCAAGAGCTATCTGGAAACCTTGGTGGCAAGTGGTCACATCGTTTTTCCAAGTAGTTCCATGTGCGTGCAGGGCGAGTGAGACTTGTAATAATGTAATGTGACATGCACGCTCGCTGTAAATTGGATGCTGCAAGGGTCCACCAAAAATTAAACACAGCTCTGCGATGTTGTCGTAGTGCGAGCACGGAGTGTGGGTTATTTCATAGCATGCAGAGATGCTCTGACTCCTAGATCACTGTCACACGGCATGGCTAGAAACCGATGTTTCGGCTTCCTGTGAAACTCATTGTGACACACTTGGTTCCCGTGAGGGTGAGGGGAGACAAATGTGACATCGAATAGCTTGCCTTCGCAAAGTCCACATCTCAAAGACCGCTGTTTGGGTCCTGCCCCGAATTCGCTTTCGACCCGAAGAAATCAGCCACGGGCCCCGCCCCAAAAGCAAAGCAGTCCTGCGCAAGCTCCGAAGGAAGCGGATTGGCAACCTTCTCATAGACGCCTGGCCACAGTCCATGCGATTCTTGCTTGTTGTGAAGGGTTGGTCCGTCCTGCGGCGACATCCTCCGGCTGGCCGTCCGCAAGAACCGTGGTGAAGACCTGAGCCGACAGCGTTCGTATGCTCCAGTCTGAGCTACTGCCACTGCTGCCACATGAGCATGAGGCCCACACTCGCTTCCAGGAATCTGACACCAGGGACACGTTGTCCAAGAACATGTTGACTCGCTCCTTTACCTGACAACAGGTGAAGTTTCTGCCAGCTTTTCTTGCGACACTGGGCCGTGCCTTCTCGCCCTCGTCATGCTTGCAACGGATTAATCGCTGCCGGACAGCAACACTGTTGGGGTTCCTGAGCCGCAGAAACTCAGAAGTGGAGTTACCCGTATTTGAAGACCGAGCTCCCCACGAATAATGGGCGGTGCCCGTCACTGGATCTAGGCCTAGGGCGAGGTTGTGGCGTGTTCCGGGTCAGGCTGTGGTGGTTTGGGTTTAGCTGCCAAGAGCCTGGCGCCGCGAAGACACTCGTGTTTCCACCACTGCATCTGCAACCTGGAGCCTGGGGCAAGCACGCCCACTACGGACATTGCAGATGCGACTCAAGCAGCATCGTTCTGAGACCGTCAAACACGGCGGTTCGTCTGAATGATGCGAGATGGCCACAAGTGAGCCTGCCTGCAGCGTTTGTGGGCATCCGGGTGGACCAGGCGAGTCAGTAACATTTTGCCTTTACAATTCAAGCGCCTGAGGAACTCAGCTTGTGCCTGTGTCTTTGGAAAGCCATCCAAGACCTCGAAGAAGGCCCAGCACAAGACGAGACACATTCGAAGGCTCTTCCCAGCTGAGCTGGCGAACCCAGCCCTTCCGAACACAATCCGTTTTGCGCAGGCGCCTCGGGCTCTCGAGCGGCTCAACACTTTTAACCCCCCCCCCCCTCCCCCCCATGGCCATGGCTTCTTCATGCTCCGAAGTTCGAAGCGCTTTTTGGGGCTCAGGCGCCCCGATCAAAGCACACGCTTCTTCGTCGCTGAGGTACTCCGGTGGCACTTCGTCCACCTCTTGGCCCTCAGCCTCATGGAAGATCCCGCGGTTCCACGCCGAGCCTGCGCCATGCTGAGTTCGGGCCTCCTGTTTCTCGCGGAGGAGCGTCGCCAAGTCCTGAAGCGTCCAAGCTGCAGCTGTCCCTGCCCTGTCCCTGCCGGTTGCTGACAGTTCAACCGGGGCCCTTACTACGTGGACCACGCCAAGTCTCTTTGCCAGCAGCTGGCACTGTGTAGTCCTGCACGGTTTAAGAAGAGGGCGAGCATCCACTTTCTATTCCATCGAGGTTCGCTTCCTTCCCGAGCCACATGGACCCAGAATGCACACCCGCTGCATCCGAAGAGGTGCATTGGAATACCTCACGCGCATGTCATGCAGTGTTTCAGACCGGAGCCACTGCAAGCAGCATCGGACTCCGAGATATCGGCGCTCTGTATTGTACATTGCTGCAGATTGTGCTGTAGATGCTCTTCTGCTCGTCCTCTCCTTCAGCCAGCTGCACAGCAGTGAGTTTCGGGCACCTGAGGCAGGCCGCGCGCCTCCATGGATCTCAATGCGGCGCACCTGAATCCGGCTCTCTATGAAAGTGGGCGCTCTACAACCATGAAGCTGCTGTGTGCACTTCCGTCGCGGATCCATGGTCGACCGACTGGGAGTCTGGCAGAGTTCTGGAAGAACTCGCTGATGGTGAGCACATGACGCTTGTACCTGCAGCAGCACGTGGGCAGGCGACGAACTCGATTCACAAACGGCACCAGCGCACTGCTGTAGGCGCATCTCGGCCACTTCTCGCTTCACCGCCGGGTCAGCAGCATCCACCTGCACTGTTCACAGCGTGCCAAGACTCCTGGCTTCTCCAAGCTCGAGCTGACTTGGCACAGCGTGCAAGCAGCTGGTTTACATAGCCTTGGCTGCGAAGTTGTGCCTAGCAAGGTCCTGCAATTCACGGATTCACGGTGAAGGTGAATGATCCACATTCCCTAACGGCAAAGGTGGTGTCCTCGCTGCTGTCCAGCAGCAACACGCTGTCCAAGCTGGTTCCCAACTCCTTGCGCTCTGGGATCGTGGGCTTGGACGGAGGCTGCACCGAATGCATTCCGGCTTGTTATTTGAAGGGTGCCTTGCTGGCAGCCGCCAGGGATTGGGCCTGCACTTTCGTCCGAGGGAAGCCATCCAGGACCTTCAGGCATTGCAACGTGAAGCACACGGAGCTCAACCGTCGGCTCAGAGCACGGCCCAGCCAGTATGCTTGGCTTTTCTAAGCTCTTCCTTCGCAGCGACACTCTGGCAAAGACCCAGGCCGAATCTGCTCAACTGTGTCCTTCACAATGTCCACAACCATGTCGTCACCAACCAGCTCCCCAGAATCGAGGATGTTTTTTAGCTCCTTCTTGCCCCTGCGAGCACCAAGCTCGAGCAGATCGAATCGATCTCTGCGAATAACTGCACTCTACATGCCTGCGAACCCGCTCAAAGCTAGGGCCAACTGTCGCGTGTCCACAGGTTTGCTTAGGCCTGCCTTAAGAGCTTGCCAACATGAATGTGCTTGACTTTGAAGTCCTCAGCAGTTTACAACTTGCCCTCATTGATGCCCGGAAAAACGGAAGCTACGCTTGCTGCAGGTCAACTGAGCCCAGTGCTGTCGCCAGCTGTTGGCAGTATTTGGACCGATTCACTCCCGGTGGCCCCATCACGCAAACGCAAAGCTTGGACTGCTCTTTGAGACACTCCTGCGCAACGTGGCGCAACTTTCGTAGACTTCAACTTACAGTCTTTAGTACTTTGCAATGATTCAATCGACTCGCCAGCCAGCTGCCTGCAGAAACTTGATAGGGTTCTCTGGCCTCTCCACCAGAACCTGCCACAAGGCACCACTCACCGACAAGCTCTCTCAAGTCGAGGCCATGAGGACATTGCCTGGCGAAGGAGATGAGCGAAGAGATCATAGACCTGCGAATAGCAAGGACAAGGCTCTTTGAACGTGGGGCTTCTACCACCTGCGACACTCAAACAAGCTCGTGCTGGTGTGTCCTCATATGACTCCAGGTAGGCATTTGTCTCTGCCTAAGTCTCGCTCGTGTCTGGTCTCGTCGCCGGCAGAAGGCTGTTGTATCAGGCTCCCGCTCCGAACTCCTTCTGCTCAGGCACCATGTTTCCTAGAGCACCCCACCTTGCCAGCAGCAGATCAACTGGCAAAGGAGCCAGATGAGGACTGAGGCACACACGTTTGCACGGGAGTCACCATGTCTGCGGGAATCTGCAGGATCCACGTGCAATCAACTACGGTGGCACGGGGACATGCGTACGGACCTTGAGCCAAAGCATGGGTAGTAGCTTGCACAGTTGGGGATTACAGTGAGGCCTGAGCTTCCGGGCTTCAGCAGAACTCAAAACAGGTCCATGATCAATTTCTCACGGCCACGCGAAACACTTCATCTAGCGCAGCATAGGAGACTGCCGCCAGCGAGTGTCCAAGTCCTTGGTGCCGGCATAAAGCGCAAAAAAAGTCGAAATCTTGTGCCTTGAAAGCCAGCCCTTTGAGAAACAGAGGTTCAACGGCATCTTGATCGACGGACCCATCCTTTTGCTAGTAAGTCGCCGGGTATTGAACGAGCATGCATGTCTGCCTTGCTAGCAGAATTGTGAGACATGACACCGGCCCCGCTAGCAGGTTGACCGAGGCTTCCGATAATCCACATCTGCCACCGGAAGTGTTCGAGGAGAGGGACTGCCAAGGCAGCCAGCCTCCTCCTCCTCAGAGGAGGCCTCTTCCTTTCCACAACCCAGCCTCTCCTTGGCCTCTGCAAGCAGGATGGACACATTGGAACTATCCGACTCGCATGCTTTCCTGCACCATTGGATGCCGAAGTAGAGGGCGACGATCAAGAGAACCCAAAGAACAATGGACCAAAACGGACCGAACCATCCTTGCGCAGCGAATTGGTGCGCAGCGAGGAACGTGACCAAGCGCGCATCAGCCATCAGATTCCTCTCAATGGGTTCTTCGGGGAACTGATTGTTGATGTACCATGTACCGGAGTAGAGTGCCGACCAAGTCGACCAAACCGTGGCCAATGTTACGACATTTCGGTCCCTCGCATCATAGATCTCAATTGGGTGGTATCCACTTTGTAACTCAGAGGTTCGGCCAAGGTAGTGCCCGCTACTATTTCGCACCTCGTAGGCCCATACACTGAGCAGTGGATTGTCAATACTCTGCATCATCCTCGCATGTAAGGCGTAGAGCGGTTGGCCTTTGCAGGTATAGATTCGGAAACTACAATGAGACCACGGCATGCACAGGTCCATGATTGCCTTGGCGGATCCATCCCCACCAGTGGACAGGTGCATCGTGCTGTAAAGGGAGGGCTCCCTCCAAACTTCGCCAAAATGGTGGCTTCCTTTCGCGCGGACTTCCGCCGGAGTCTCCAGGATGAAGCAGGCCTTGCCCTGTTCTCCGTCGGAAGTGATGCTGCCACCGCTATGATACAAACAGCATCCGCCTTTGCCGTAGATGTTTGGGCGATCAAAGCCAATGCAAGTTCCACTCTTCTCACCTGATCACAAAACTTGAGCTGAACATCAAACCCTGTCTTCCGTGAGCAACACCGACAAGGACTTGCATGTCTGCTGCAACAAAAGATGCGACCTGCATGCAGATGAGAGGCATGCAGCCGCACATTCCACGGCGGTGAGGGGTAAACCCACGCAACTAGGAACTCCTGTCTCCACCTTACAGGCGCCTTCAGGGAGAAGCACAGGCGAAACGAAAAACACCGTAACACTGGCCATGCGGAAAGCGAGTCTCTGTTTCCCGGCATGGCCTTTGTTCATTGCAAACCTGAACTCGTTCATGGAGTAGGTGGACAAGAAAGACCAATACTGCTTCTCCATGACAATGGTCGGTGGCATGGGGACGGGTTCCTTAAGCTGCGAGGGTCTCAGCAAGAACTGGTCTAGTAGTCTAGCCATTCCAAGAGAGGCAAACCAAACTTCCCTGACAGCATGACTCGGCTTTCCAAGTCTCCCGTCCACAGTAACTGCTTGCACTATGCATCAGCAGAAACGTCAGTAAAGCCTGTCTGCGGACACACTTTGGACGCCGCATGGCTGGACGGAGTATGGACGACGAAGTATGAGTCAGAGGCCTGGCAGGCTCGATCCCCTGCCATATGTGATGGTGCACTTTGAGCCACATGTAACCGAAATCACTACGTATTCTGGTCGTCGTGAAAGAAAACACGGTCATGTTTTGTCTGCCGGATCCCCGGCTTCACCGCACACCTTCGAAGTCTACATACGGCTTATGGTCATGCTCCCAACCAGTCTACGGAATAACGCCTGCCGTACAGGACCCCTTCACGAAGCTCGTTGAGAACCAGGCAGGCTGTGTGGTGAAGGGCCAGTAATCTTTCCAGCACTGATCCCAAGCCTGACTCGGCAGAAGGGAGACTCCGAGCGAATGAAATCCCAACAGCCTCGTGGAGAGCTGCCCCTGCCAGCCCCCTGTCCTGCTTTGCTGAGAGGCGCGAGGCTACATCGCAACATCCACAAAAAAAGGCACAACACGGACACCTATACAGTCTTACATACCATTGCAACGGCTAGCAGCTGTGAACGATGCCCACCCATGCCACCACCATTGATCACCACAGCAACAACGATGACGACAACAGCAGCAAGAATCGCAAGCAAATCGGAACTAAAGGGTGCAAAGTCACAGAAAATGCTTGTACAGGCATGTGTACCGAAGTGTGAAGTCCGGCAATTGGCTCCTGGCAGCGCTCGTTTTCCAGCAGCGAAGCAAGGGCGCCGTCGCGCACACATCGCTGCTTCCGGTTGATCATGTCCTGCGAAACCGTAGACTTCAGATCAGCGGGAGGATGTCTTCCACAGATATCAGTCGTCGTGGTTGTATTTGCTGCTGCTTCAACCTGTCGGTTAGACTATTGCGATGTATATAAAGTGCTGTTTATCTGACGGCTAATATTGTTCTATATTTCCGATCCTCCCCCAGGTACTTGAAGGAGTTTGGCCACAGGTCACACTCCTTACATGTTCTTTATGCACCGACAGGACCAACTTGCAGAAACTGCGAGAGAAGCGAGCAAGGTAAGCTCCTGGCACCACTTAGATTCCAGGCACGGATTTCCGTGCAAGCCTGCAATCCAAGGACATGAGCAGAAAGCTTTGTTCGCATTTCTGTTGCAAAGCTGTGATTCCGGCCATATGGGTGCAGCTGCCCGGGTCTACCTTCCAGGCAACAGGGAAGATGCTTCATACCCTGAACCTCTCAGCGAAGATACGAGCCTTGGCACGGGCAAAGTCAAAGGCGTGCGTCAATTCGTGAACCAGAACTGGCGGTAAAGAAAGACGGCAAACAACCTTCCTGTGCAAGATCTTCATCCTCGCCTCTTCTGAACTCGAAGGGGTTCCAAAACCGATTTGCACACATCCAAATGCGGTTGTGCCTCTACGGAGCAAAACGTCTGGGCTGGCCTAAATTCGGTCAACAGGATGTCAGCTCAATGCAGCCTTGGAGAGTAGCCGGCCCTGTGCCGAACATCCGAAGGGCATCGAACACACACAAGATCGACAGGAGCCTGAGTCTCTCAGCTGACAAGGAACTTCCACCTCTCAGCGATCCTACCGTCCTGCCTTCATTGCAGACAGCGCGTTAACCAGGATTTCGACTTTCCAGTAGCCGAAGGCCTGCACTTTTGGCATGATGGTACGGCAGCACATGCGACAGAGAAGGAGCTAAAACAAAGGTCGAGCGGTGGCCTGTCGGGACAACAACTGGCAAGCTTTGAACTCCCAGCTGCTGAGGTTTGCATCGCACTTTGCCTCCATGACCTTATCGAGTCGGACATGTAGAACTGTATTAAACCTAGCCGGACCTAGCCATTGTTTTGCGGGCGGGATGCCACGGATGCAGACGCCTGGTCGACGGAAGTCGAATCATACTCCCTCGAGAATGACCTCAGGCCGTACAAGTACCACCCGGCAGCTGAGCAATAAACGGCCGAATAACGAGCGCGAGTGAGGCTGCAAAGGTCCGGGCGGACGCCACATGTCCTCGATTGTGGCCCAGCATTGGCTAACTGGATGTCTGTCAAAGCGTCTTGATGGTGTGATAGCTTGATGGGGTCCACAACTATGCTGGTGGTGGAACTGCTGTAATATGGGTCGTTGACGCCTACCTGTCGCCTAACTACCTGGCCATCGCTGCGAGTTTTACGTATCTTCCCTTTTTTCGGGTACTTGACTTTCAAGACTTGGCTTGAGCAGTCGATGTCTCTTCAACATTTCTTGAAAGCGTCTGCTCCACAGGCGGGTAGTTCACTACAGGCTCAGACAAGGATTTGTCAGCTGGTCCGCAGCACAGCTATGCTCCAAGGTTAGCCAGCTCAGATTCCACCATGGGACCGATCGCCTGCGCCAAGCTGATTGAGTAGTCTTGCTATAGTTTTCTTCAATGTCTGCAGAAGCGGCCGAGAAGTCCTGAAGCAGGTCCCGGTGCCTGTGCTGCTGCCAGCAACGGGGTCTTTACGTAACGTGCGCCTGTGGCACCTGGCAAGGACATGCTGAGTCGATTGGACTGGATCATAGATGCTGCCGCGTGCACGCTTGCCCCTCATCTTCTGTTTTCCAGGTGTTGCATGCACAAGCGATCTGTTACAGTGCAAGGACAGGCCTTCGTCACAGCTACACGCTCACCTGCTGATAATCCAAAGCTGTAACGCAATGGCACGACATATGTACGGGCTGACCAAGCGTTGCTGCATTTGTCAGTGCCAAGATGGGAAGGTCCTCCATCAAAAAGGCGAAGCATCCTTATACCGCATGTGGGTATCCTGTCTAATTCAAAATCCAAGGGTTCACTCCAGCTCTTCCTTGCGGGTTGCCCATGGCCCCATACTCCATGGGCTTGCCTCCCATCATGTTTCCTGCAGGTGCCTCTGCACCTGGCATGGCAGCTGCAGCTGTACCAGCAGTGCCAGCATTTGCCACAGCCGCAGCGACGGCTGCTGCGTTTGCCCCAGGTGGTACGACGGAAACGGGCTGCCAGTAGCCACGCCTGCAAATCGAAGGCGACACGAATCAAACCACATAACTCCAAGCGAAAGCCTTCTTTGCCAGCATTGTCATGCCAAGCTACACCACTGAAGGGTCGTGAGGAAAGAGGGCCGAGTCGTCAAAAGCCCAGCCCCTGCCATCTGCAAGGCGAAGATACACACGTCCATCAGCACCAAGAATTTCTTCAGCAACCGCCAGCGTGGCGTTCTGGCAAAGCCTTATCTCATTCAGACAAGTCAGGCAAAGATTGAACCACAGTGTTGAGTAAAGATGGCCCAACATCCTCGCTGAGCAACGTTTCTCCTGTGCGAGGTGCTTCTACACTTGGTCCGTGACGAAGGTCAACGCCACCCGCGAATGCAACACGATACCACCTCGGCGACCAGCCCCTGCAGACTGAGAAGCCAAGTTCAAAGTGAACAGGGAAAGCAAGCACTAGGCTTCACACGGGTAGCGACCAGCTTCTCCCGAGAATGCATTTGCTGGTGCAACCATTGTCAGCGGTTGGCTGGGGCCTGCACAGCTAGGAAAATAAGAGTCTGTAGCTGCAGCTACCACGATGTAGGACAAGCACCACAGCACACCTTACATCCTCTGTCATATTGCCCCTGTTGCCTGCAGGTGCGACTGGAGCGGGGTGTGGCGCCGGGCCAGCAGCCATCTGCATTGAAGCATCCATCCAAGGGGCTCCAGCCATGCCAGCCTGCATACAAGCCATGCTCGAGGGCCCAAAAGCGTCCACTCTGCCGCCGACTCGTAAAGCAAAGCAAGCTCTTCCTAGCTTGAGCCGCAAAGCAAAGTAGGGCAGCGGCAGGGCATGATGCAAGCTGAGCACAAGCACCTATCTGAACTATATGTATGTTACAGGCACGGAAAGAGCATGCAGCCGCCAATGCCGGAACGGCCTTTCAGGCTCCTGGCCGCCCTGCTCTTGGCAGCTGCAGTACCCGTAGCCACACTAGCCTGAACATGTCGATACAGGGACAATTCCTATCAACTCTTTATCATAAGCTACTCAGAGAATGCGGCCTCCTCTGCAGCGAGGAGCATGTCGGAAACGAACGGCAGGGCCTGCAACCGTGTGAATGCGTGAGCGTGGGGAGCGGTTTTGGAGAGTCAGTCCGGGCCTGACCAACTGGAGGAGCACGCGACATTGATTTGGACTTCTGCTTCTTGTCCTGGTCCTCGAGAACGAGGGCTCGAGCATCCGAACGCCCCAACGCTGGCCCACGCTTTGGGGCTTTGGTGGCCTGTGTGGAAGCACCGACCTGAGCAAGGGCACTGCGACGTCGGCAAAACCAATGTGGGCTGCAGCTTCGTTTGCCGCCGGCTTGCAAGGAGCATGATGTTCTCGATCAATTCTCGTCTTACCTCGGGCTTCTGCGCGCAGAGTTCAACCGGCACCAAGTGGAAAAGAAGGAGAAAAAGGTGTGTGCTGTGTTCTCGCCTCCCAGGTTATTGGATCTTCCTCTGCGTCTCCACCTGCAACGGGCGATGCATGACCCCTAGCTTGCTGTAAAGGGGGAGGCATCAAAAAAAAACTAAATAGA